TTTGAATTGATTGCATAATTAGTGGCTTCATAATAGGCATGAGTTAATTAGTGGAACAAATATAGAAGATATGATCATAGCATTAATTTTGAATTAAATATAGGAGATATGGCAATATCATTAATTTTGAATTTGAATCTTAAATTCAAATTCAAAATTCAAATATGTGTAATCAATTCAAATAGGCGCGAATTGATGACACTTAATTTTCTTGCCTTTGTTATGTACGTTTCCTGTTTTGTTTCGGTATGTCTTAGTTAGTATAAAATTAGGTGTTGTGTTGCATTGTAAAACACCTAGACTTGTATTTTTTCACTCCTTCAAAATAATAAAAAGAGAATTCCCAAAAGTCCAATCTCATTTTTCGATTTGTCCTTTAGCGATCCAGTAAATTGGAACCAACATTGAAGACGGAAGTAAGGCGCACAGATTTCTCGATCCACAACGCAGAAAAATTCTTGTGAGCAGAGACGCTGTGTTTGAAGAGGAGAAGAAGTGGGAATGGTGCGACGATGATGACGAGCTCATACAAAATTCTATGGAGTTCAGAATTTTACAAGATGACGGAGAAGTAGCGGACTCAACCTCGCCAATGACACCAATGGTCACGCCGAACTCTCAACGACAACAAGAGAACTCAGGAAGACCCACAACGAAAGATGCTCCCGAGAAATTTCGCTCACTTGCCGAGGTCTATGCGGAAGCACCACTAGTAGAGATGAACCTTGATGAATTGTTGTTGCTCACTACCGATGAGCCAACAACATATCATGAGGCGGCAACCAAGGAGGCGTGGAATAAGGCCATGCAAAAAGAGCTCGAGTCCATCGAGAAGAACAAGACGTGGGAGCTCACCGACTTGCCACCCGGTCATAAGCTCATCGGCTTAAAATGGGTGTTTAAGTTGAAAAGGGACAGCGAAGGCAACATCCTTAAGCACAAAGCAAGATTGGTGGCGAAAGGTTACGTGTAGAAGCAAGGAGTTGACTTCGAGGAATCCTTTGCACTGGTGGCGAGACTCGATACCGTTAGGTTAATTCTTGCCCTCGCAGCTCATCGTAGGTGGGAGATCCACCACTTGGACGTCAAGTCGGCGTTTCTCAATGGTGATATTGAAGAAGAAGTCTACGTCACCCAACCTCAAGGATTCATTGTCAAGAATGAAGAACACAAGGTGTACAAGTTGTCCAAAGCTCTCTACGGACTACGCCAAGCACCAAGGGCGTGGAACACTTGTCTTAACAAGAGAATGATGAGTCTAGGTTTCGTGCAGTGTCCTCAAGGGCAAGCTATGTACATGAGGAATCACGAAACAAAAGTACTCATCGTTGGCGTGTACATTGACGATTTGATTGTAACAGGATCCAGCATTGATGGTGTTGAGATATCCAAGAAGCAAATGATGAAGGAGTTCGAGATGAGTGATCTTGGGCTGCTCTCATACTACCTCGGTATCGAGGTAGACCAAAAGAAAGACCACATCACAGTGAAGCAATCGGCTTACGCAAAGAAGGTGTTGGAGTAGTTCGAAATGGTAGATTGCAACCCGAGCAAGTATCCAATGGAAACAAAGTTTCAACTCGGAAAGGATGCGGAAGGAATCGTTGTAAATCCCACCAAGTATAGGTGTGTCATCGGGTGTCTCAGGTACCTGACCCATACTCGACCCGATATCTCATACGCAGTTGGCATGGTGT